CGTCATTCTTTCTCGGAGCATAATATGCTTTTACAGACAGTGAAAACACGATACATGTATATTATATAACAGACCAGGAATGACTGCAGAGAGAACAGTGAAACAGTTTGGGGGGCTCCTTTCACACTGAAGGAGTTGATCCTAAGAATAGGAACATCTTTGTTAAACATTTTCTGTGTGTTAGTGAGAAGAAAAAAAATCCATGTATTTTTAAGACTGTCATTGAAGCTATCCTTTTGTTAGAGGCTTTCTCTAAAAGGCCGTGGGACCCGTTTCCCCTCTGTGTAGCACTGAGAAACATAGAACTTGCTCAAGAATGTTTGAACAGTGATAGAGGTAGAAACCCTGAAAATCTTAAGTATAAATAGCAAGTGTGGGGATAGCTGTAAACTAATTATACATTTCCTCTTATGCTGAAATAGCTTTATTTTTCAGACTCTGTTCTTCACCCTCCTCCTGACTGCGTTCAGGAAAACAGATTCAGCGTTAAGTACACATGCCCCAGTTGAAGCCATGGGCTGGGACGTACTTGACGTTAGTAAAGCTGGGTTGTTCCCAGAACAGCTTCTGCCTCACGATGATGCAAAATGAGTACAGCAGATCAGAATGGGACTTTTACATAGTAACCTGGACCGAATGTTCCTGTGAACCGAGAATGGGAGGCCCTGGGTTAAGTTCTGTCACTGGTGAATTTGTTGCCGTCTTTCTTCACTTGTAATATAACCCTTATGACTGCAGATTCCTGCCTCAGCCCTTGCCTGTTACAGTTTGAGGTCTCCTAGTCATTGAACAGTCAGTATGAAGAAAAAAAAAATTTCTTTGATATTAATAACATTTACAATGCTTGTTTTTCAATTCCTCCCTTAAGAAAGAAAAAATTTCCAGTTGCATTGGAAATAAATTTCTCAAACTTGTACTGTTTTTACGTGGTTTTACCTTGAAATAAAAATTTTAAGCCATATTAACTAATAGATGTAACGTCTTCTATTTTTAGAACACAAAGGCCAGTTTAAAGTGTAAATTTAATTAAAAGATGGTTGAATTCATTTGAATCCGACATAATATTGGCTTAAAACAAGGCAAGATTAAAGGGCTTTAAAAGTTATATGATGAAATTTTGAGCTGCATTTGGATTTTTCCTATATGGGTTTTCTTGTTATAGAAAGCATTTTTTAAAAAGAACAAATACTGCCAGATGAGCACATATACACTGTAACACTCTCCGTGTGGTCCCTGTAACCAGGAGAGCCCTTGAAGCCGGCATCACAACTTTATTTCTCTCGCTCCCGTCTCTGCGTCAGGACTCGCCCTTTCACTCTGCACTTCAGGACAATGGCTGCCTCCTTGTAAAGAGCTGCGTCTCTAGTAAAATAGGCTCGTTTTGGTTATTTCCTACCAGTCAATGCAGTGGAAGTGCTTATTGTTGTTTAATAACTTTCTTAAAATATGCACCCAAAATTTCAATTCCATACGGGAAATGTTAGGGTTTCTTTTTATTTCCATTCATTGTAGTCAAGACTGCTTATAAAATTTGTGCTTCTCTATAACTTTTATGGAATGCTAATCACATGCAGATTTTGATAGAGAAACACACTCATAGCCTGAGCAACTGAGAATAACAGGTAATGTGACCATATTATGATATTTTACACAAACTCCAATTTAAAAATTATAGGTGGTGCTTCCAGATTATTTGCCCAAAATAAGAGATCTGAATTCTATTGAAGAATTTTTCCTTCACTAATTGTAGTTTTTAAAATGTTTTAGTCAAAAGACAAATTTATTATGAAACTTTGCTTATATTGTCTGTTTTTCTTAGGTTCATTCACATAATGAACTGTTAACAGGTCTAAATGGTCAGAATGCCATTTTTTACACAATTTTCTTCAATTTTGCTTTCCTTCTTCAATTTTAGAGGAGTGCAAGTGGAAAGTTATTTTACTTTGACGAGAATATCTTCATCATGTTTAGGTAATTATCAGTTGTTATTGCATTAAACAGAATGACTTATTACTTGGTAGAAAGTGCTTAAATATTCTATGCACAATTTCTGTGATTGAGAAACAGTTGTAATTTTGCAAACCTGCCAATGGGAGAAAAAGAAATTACCTGTGGGAACACTTCCCAACTTCCATGAATTTGGAGATAAACCCTAAAAATACTTAACATGCAAAACCAACGGAAACGTAAAAATTTGTCTTTAACGTAAATGGCGATTTGTTTGGGTTGCTTAAGACCTTTGAGAAAAAGGTACAGTGTGAAACAAGGTCGTATTTCTCTATTTCACTTGCCATAGTTTGCTACAAAGAAAACCTGGGAAATATTCACTTGTGAAGATAAAATTTATTTGCAGTTAAGTAAGTTAGTTCTTCCAACACTGAACACACTTCACAGGATCCAGAAATCAACCTAATTTTAAGCATTTTCTCAGTGAACTTCTCTAACACATATTCCATATAAAGAAAAGTATTTTTTGAATAAGATGTACACTGTAAAATTTTAAATGTATATACCATGTGAATGCTTTTATATACCATATAGGTTATATATTTTATCTCCTCTAAGGAGTTAAAGGTAGAATTCTATTTCAAGAAATTAGCAATATTTAATTTCTTGGTATTTTTCTTTTAAAAAAGTATTAAAATATGAGGATTATGGCAGGCCTTTTATATCATAACTTTAAAATATTGGAAAAGAATTTTTAAAAATATTCTGTTCCATCTTTATAATAGTTATAATTGTTATGATGTAGTATAACATTGATTCCAACTTGATTGTTTAATACAAAGGAACTTTTCTTTTATGGCCACTTAGACTTTTTTAATATATGGGTCTGCAGAAGAACATTCCATTATCATAAAGAAATTTAAAAGTAGAGGTCCTTTGCATTGTGTGGTAATTCTTTAAATACACGATTAGGATTTGAGAAGCTTTTATTTCTTATTAATCATTAAGAAATTGTTTATCTGATGATTTTAGTTTGGGGTTTTTTTGCCCTGTTCCATAACCTTAGCAGGTTTAAAATTAGGTTTTGCATACACTGAGCAAAGTTAAGTCCTCGGCGTGTTTATTTTGTCAGTGTGCCTATCTGCAGTATAAATCAGCTGTGTCTGCTTCCAGCTATACTAACCCTCATTACAGATACCTATTACATTCCGTCCTTCCTACAGTAATGAGGCTTCTTGCAGTCTGATCTTCAGCACTGAATTTAGTTTAAAAGTCTAGCAGGTCTTTATGGGCTGCAAGCTCTAACTTCTTTTCCCCTCCAAATGGTTTAGCCAGTTAAGAAAATGCTAATTGAACACTGCTAATAATTTTTTAAAGGCATGTATAAATTACCTGGAAATAATGGCCTCATGGAGAGCAGCAGACTAGCCTGGAAAAAATATTTTTATTTTCTTTTCCAGTAGAGGGACCAAATGTTTTTACAGGGTATTTTTTAGAAATCAAATTTCCCTACTGAAATAAGTGCCAAATTATTCTTTTTCCAAAACCCTGAAAGAATAAATCTGGAGACTTCTTAGCAAATACATTTGTTGGTGTTATAACATCATTTCCGGGACACAAACCTGAGGATGTTTGTTCTCTCGGTGGGCTGTGCACAGTAACAAAGGGCTGATGCACAGCTGTCCTTGGTCTCTGTTCAAACTGATCTGATGCTGTCCCTCCGTCTGTAAGTTGACGAGAGGCTGTTGCAAGTCAGGAATATCCAGGCCAGCACGTGGAGCCCCAGTGATTATTGAACATGACCTTCCCCCCCACCACCAGAAAAATAGGACTAGAAATGTTATCGTATGTTGGTTTCTCATTCCTGTATAGCTATTTATTTGATCAGGTGTGAATTGGAATTGTTCATTAAACGTGGTTGTTATTCGGCACAAGAGGGTAAAGGCAGGCAGGAAGTAGCCGCCTACAACAGTAATTAAACATGTGTAACCAATTACAGGGTTTTCCACTATGGCACAAGCATATAATTTGCTAAGTCTTTCTATGAGAATAGATGAAAATAGGTACAAAAAGTGTGTCTGACTACAACATTCTCATGTTAAACATATCAACATAAATGAACTTTAAATATATAATTTCTAGTTTGTTAACAAATCGCTGAACTCTATTGGCTAATCACAATAACATATAATTTTGGTTCATTTCGCCAAGAAATATTGCATCTGACAGAGCCAATTAGTTGTATTAAACATGATTAATTTTAGGCCTGGACTATATTGATGATATTCATTTGGCAAATCCTAACATGTAGAAATGGACCCTGTCTGAAGGGAAAGGACAGAAGACTGAAAAAGAAGCCGGATTGATTTGTTAATCGAACATGCATCGGGAAGGTTGTTTTTCTGAGCAAAGATGTAAGAAGTGCTTATATTTTCTTTGTTACATTTATAAATGAAAGTATTTAGCTGAAATTTCCTACATGAAATAAATGCCCATTGGTTTGAAAGGTTCTATAGGATTACATTAAATCTGTAAGGTCTCCGTGCTGCATAAAGATAATAAATCTCCAAGGTCCGAGCCCACGAGAGCCACAGTGGCCAGCTCCGCTGTCAGGTGCTGACGTGAGTTTGAAAGGTTACAGATTAGTTTAGCAATGTTAAGTGAACTGGCAAAGGCATCTCTAATTTTGCTGGAAATGAGGAAGCCCGATGGTAGGGGGATCCTAATGAGCCCGTCGAAAGCTGGCTTTGTACCCAACAGACAGGGTGGCTGCGGCTTGTATGAAAATATTGGAAATCAATGGCTTCTATGGAATTTCATTAAGAAGCAGTATCCACAATTGATAGCGCCTCATAATTTGATGGATTGTGCTAAGAAAATGATTAGCTGGCTAGAAGGAGTCATAGAATGCCCACGCTGGGATGCCAGAAATGTTGAAGTGGGGTAATTTGTACAAAATAAAAAATATTGATTTTACTTATGTGCAAAATTTTGAAATGGAGGGCAGGTTGTCTGGCAAGCCGCTGGCTGATGTAATCTCTTGATGTTTCCAGCCGTCCCGGGTGAAGGCGCCGATGAAGGTGACAGTGGGAACGAGGGCAGAAGTGGAAGCGAAGAAACCAACGTGTGTGAGAAGTGCTGTGCGGAATTCTTCAAGTGGACAGACTTCCTGGAGCACAAGAAGAGCTGCACTAAGAACCCACTGGTCTTGATCGTGAGCGAGGATGAGCCGGCACCGCCCTCGGAAGAGTTTCCAGAACCTTCTCCGGCCAGCTCTCCCAGTGACCAGACAGAGAGCGAGGCTGCCGAGGAGGCGGCCCCCCCTGAGGACGGTGAGGGCGTTGACGTGAGGGCCCCAGAAAAGGAGGAAGAGCCCATGGAAGCAGATCCCTCTGGAGAAAGAAGCTTCCAGAACCCAGGCCCCTCGCACACAGGGAAGCCGCCTCTACCTCAGATCCCCGAACCGGCACCTGTGACCACGTACAGCATGCCAAACACTAATGTGACGTTAGAGACCCTCCTGAGCACCAAGGTGGCCGTTGCACAGTTCTCCCAGAATGCGAGGGCTGCAGGCAGTGTGGGATCCAGCAGTGGGGTGACCACAGTGGCCATCCCCATGATCCTGGAGCAGCTGATGGCCCTGCAGCAGCAGCAGATCCACCAGCTGCAGCTCATCGAGCAGATCCGCAGCCAGGTGGCCATGATGAACCGCCAGCCCCTCAGGCCACCACTGAACCCCGGGGCAGCCTCAGCGGCTCAGAACACCCCAGTGCCAGCCTCCTGCCAGCTCCAAGGGCTGGCCACCCATTCGGCCCTGCAGCTCTCTGCCGGGCCCCCCTCTGCCCCCACAGCGCCAGGCCCTGCTGCCCAGCAGGTGGCCTACGAGGGCCCCCAGCACCTGTCACAGCCGGCGTCTGGAGCAAGCACCCCGCACATTCCCAGTGGGGACCCCTCTGTCCCCGAGTCCGGCGGGCCGGTGTCCTCCAGTGCAGCCCCGGCCTCCGCTGCCCCGGCCCCGGCGGCCAGCGCCTCCAGCAGCTCCTCGCAGCCGCAGAACGCTTCCACACCCCCCACCCTGGGGCCTGGACCACTGCTCAGCTCAGCCCCCAGCCTGCCAAACCCACTTCTACCTCAGACCACCGCCAGCAGCGTCATCTTCCCTAACCCGCTGGTCAGCATCGCGGCCACGGCCAACGCACTGGACCCCCTGTCGGCCCTCATGAAGCACCGCAAGGGCAAGCCCCCAAACGTGTCCGTGTTCGAGCCCAAGGCCAGCGCTGAGGACCCCTTCTTTAAGCACAAGTGCAGGTTCTGTGCCAAGGTGTTCGGGAGCGACAGCGCCCTGCAGATCCACCTGCGCTCCCACACCGGCGAGAGGCCCTTCAAGTGCAACATCTGCGGAAACCGCTTCTCCACAAAGGGCAACCTGAAGGTCCACTTCCAGAGGCACAAGGAGAAGTACCCCCACATCCAGATGAACCCCTACCCCGTCCCGGAGTACCTGGACAATGTGCCCACCTGCTCTGGAATTCCCTACGGGATGTCGCTGCCTCCAGAGAAGCCAGTGACCACCTGGCTGGACAGCAAGCCCGTGCTGCCCACGGTGCCCACGTCGGTCAGCCTGCAGCTCCCGCCCACTCTCCCCGGCGTCAGCAGCTATGCCGACTCCCCCAGCCTCACCCCCGCCAGCCGCTCCCCACAGCGGCCCTCGCCCGCGTCCAGCGAATGCACTTCTTTGTCCCCTGGCCTCAACAGCTCCGAGCCAGGCATCCCCGTGACCGCGGAGTCCCCGCAGCCAGTGCTCGGTGGGTCTTTGACCAAAATTGAGCACGTGAGCCTGCCTTGCGCAAACGCCAGGGCAGGGCATGTCCCCGCTGGCGGGCAGGTCTCCACCGTGTCCACATCGGCCGCCACTGCCCTCACGGACAGCAGTGTATCCACAGGCCTCTGCAGCCCAGTCCTCCCGGCCGGCTCTGACCAGTTCAGGGCGAAGTTCCCCTTCGGAGGGCTGCTGGACTCCATGCAGACATCGGAGACCTCCAAGCTGCAGCAGCTGGTGGAGAACATCGACAAGAAGATGACGGACCCCAACCAATGCGTCATCTGCCACCGCGTGCTGAGTTGCCAGAGCGCCCTGAAGATGCACTACCGGACGCACACGGGGGAGCGGCCCTTCAAGTGCAAGATCTGCGGGCGCGCCTTCACCACCAAAGGCAACCTGAAGACGCACTTTGGGGTGCACCGCGCCAAGCCGCCCCTGCGTGTGCAGCACTCCTGCCCCATCTGCCAAAAGAAGTTCACCAACGCCGTGGTCCTCCAGCAGCACATCCGCATGCACATGGGGGGGCAGATCCCAAACACCCCGCTGCCCGAAGGCTTCCAGGACGCCATGGACGCTGAGCTCCCGTATGACGAGAAGGCCGCGGAAGCCCTGAGCAGCTACGACGACGACATGGACGAGAACTCCATGGAGGAGGACGCCGAGCTGAAGGACACGGCTGGTGACCTGTCCCAGCCACTCCCGTCCTTCTCGGGCTCCTGTCCACCCTCCCCACCGTCCGTCATTTCCAGCATCGCAGCCCTGGAGAACCAGATGAAAATGATCGACTCTGTCATGAGCTGTCCGCAGCTGACCGCCTTGAAGTCTGTGGAGAACGGGTCCGGGGAGAGCGACCGCCTGAGCAATGACTCCTCATCTGCCGGGGGCGACCTGGAGAGCCGGAGTGCAGGCAGTCCGGCCCTGTCCGAGTCATCGTCCTCCATGCAGGCCTTGTCCCCCGTGAACAGCAACGGCGAGAGTTTGCACTCCAAGTCCCCCGGCCTCGGCCACCAGGAGGAGCCCCAGGAGATACCTCTCAAGACCGAGAGGCCAGACAGTCCACCCCCTGCCCCCGAAAACGGAGGCGCGCTGGACCTGACGGCCACCCACCCCGGCCGGCCGGCCATCAAGGAGGAGGCCCCCTTTAGCCTGCTGTTCCTGAGCAGAGAACGGGGTAAGTGTGACAGCGCTGTGTGTCGTGTCTGTGCCAAGCCTTTTGCTTGCAGGAGCGCGTTGGAAATCCACCACCGCAGCCACACTAAGGAGCGTCCGTTTGTCTGTGCGGTCTGCAGGCGCGGGTGCTCCACTATGGGTAATTTAAAGCAGCACTTACTGACCCACAAGTTGAAAGAGCTGCCTTCTCAGTTACTTGACCCCAACTTTGCTCTAGGTCCCAGCCAAAGCTCTCCTAGCCTGGTCGCCGCCTCCACGCCTGCCATGATCAAAATGGAGGTGAACGGGCACAGCAAGGCCGTCGCGCTGGGCGAGGGCCCGGCGCTGCCGGCGGCAGTCCAGGTGCCCGCCGGGCCGCAGACAGTGATGAGCCCCGGCCTCGCGCCCATGCTGGCCCCGCCGCCGCGCCGGACGCCCAAGCAGCACAACTGCCAGTCGTGCGGGAAGACCTTCTCCTCAGCCAGCGCCCTGCAGATCCACGAGCGCACCCACACCGGGGAGAAGCCGTTCGGCTGCACCATCTGTGGCAGGGCGTTCACCACCAAGGGCAACCTCAAGGTAAGGGTGCAGGCGCAGCAGGCGGGGCTTCCGCTGAGGTCCCGGCCAGGGCCCAAGAGGCTGGGGAGCCCGCGAGAGACAGCGCTGTGTGTGCCTGTGTGGTATGTGTGCACGTGTGGGTGAGTGCATGTGCGTGTACTTGTGAGTGGTGTGTACACGTATTTTGTGTGTAATGTCATGCATTGTGTGCACGTGCACAAGTGTATAGTGTGGGGTGTGTGTGCAGCCTGTCTGTGCTCATGTGCACATGCACCCACGTGTGCATGTGTGCACACTCATGGAGGTGGGCCTGCATCCAGCTGTAGCGAGGGGCTTGCCTTCCCGTGCAGGCCTGGCCTTCCCTCAAGGGGCTTGTGCATCTTGGGGGTGGTGGCATCATGTTGGGGGTGACACACAGTTTGCCAGTGGGCGGCCAGGCCCAGGGCCATCGCTGTCTTGAATTTGGTGGAACACTCATAACAAGATAAACTGGGCCGTTAATAAACGCTTGCACGTGATACAAATAATGCAAATCCTGCCCAGAGGCCAGAGGCCGGTCCTATGGTTTTGTCCACGTGGCTGCGGAGAGGGGCTGTGGGCATTTGTGAAAAGCCTCTCAGCAGGAGGGCCAGAATATGACAGTGCGGCCTTGTGCTCACATTTAAGATGATAGTCACACTGCACGTTCCCTCGGAGGGTGGAGTGTGTGAGGGGTGCTAGAGGACATGTCCGGGCCGTGTTCCCACTCGCAGCTGAGCGCCACTCCCCATCTACGTCACGTGCCTGTTTGGGTCTCGGTGACCTCTTCAGAGACCGTGAAGAGATCAGTACCTGTGGCTTCTCCTCCTTCGTAGGATAAGAGCCGCCTGAGGTCTCTGCTGACCACAGGTGCCCCAGGTGTTTCCTCCGTGTTTGGGAGAAAGCAGCAGAGGCAGGAGGCGCGGTGAGGCAAGAGTTCCGAGTAGAAGACAGTTTTAAGGGGGCGGGAGAGGCACAAAGGACGCGGGCCTCAGGGAGCAGAGGGCGAGGCCCTGTGTCCTCTGAGCTCTGGAACATCCTCTGGGTGGCTTTGTGGGTCTCACTAGAGGGAGAAATTATGCTATCGGTTTGTCAACTGAGAGAGACGTTCATTAACGCATCGGCTGGTTTTGCTTTATGTATTTAATAAAAGGCAATGTTGCATGTTTAATTATAAGAGTCTCAGAAGAGGTCACATAACAAGACTGTGTTGTCCCAAAACTAATGCTTAGGATGGGGAAAAGAAAAAGACTGAAAAGGTTACACTGAGTTTCTCGGTGACACTTGTGAGCTGTGGAGACAGGAGCACGCGGCCTCTGGGCGGGGCTTGCTCACTCCCGGGTTGTCTCTCGTGTCTCACACACAGGTGCACATGGGCACGCACATGTGGAATAACGCTCCTGCGAGGCGCGGCCGCCGCCTGTCAGTGGAAAACCCCATGGCTCTGCTAGGTGGTGACGCCCTGAAGTTCTCAGAAATGTTCCAGAAGGATCTGGCAGCACGAGCCATGAACGTCGACCCCGGTTTTTGGAACCAGTATGCCGCAGCGATCACAAACGGTCTGGCCATGAAGAACAACGAGATTTCCGTCATCCAAAACGGAGGCATCCCCCAGCTCCCAGTAAGTCTCGGCGGCAGCGCCATCCCCCCCTTGGGTTCCCTGACCACGGGGATGGACAAAGCGCGCACCGGCAATAGCCCGCCCATCGTGGGTTTGGACAAAACAAACTCCGACACGGGAGCCAGCCGTCCATTCACGAGGTTTATTGAGGACAACAAGGAAATTGGCATTAACTAGCCGTGCACGGCTCCGTCCGTCTGCTCTGTCCCTGTGCGCGCTGTGAGGTGTGACTGCTGAGAGGGTGTTTCACAGGCGCTGGGTGGTACTTCTTTCCACAGCGAGCTTGACTGTTCTTGAGAACTCTGCAACCTTTTAAATAAATTTATAAAAAAAAAAAAGAAGTCCTTGGGAAACCGCCTTGGGAATGGAAAGGGCTCAGACCTCATCCACTTCGTTTCTCCTAAAACCTAATAATCCCCGAGAAGGAGAGGGGGGTCCCCTGCGATATTCTAGTGAAACTCATTCGATGGTTTTGTTCGAATTGGTTAGAAACTTGAACTGTTTTTAGAACTCTTATCTTAAAGACATGGTCCAGTACTCCCCACGCTGTGTCTCATGGCAGTACTGTTGTCTATAGTATTTATAATGTTAAGATTATGCGGGTAACAGACAATACAGCCCCAACTTTAAAGGAAACTTTTGTACTGCAGAATACATCTGGCTGTGTGATTTTGTTTTTTTAAAGCAAGATTTGTTTTACTATAAATAAGTGGATTATTTCAGTGCAGGCAAAATTGTGAAGTTCTGTTGGGAAAGATAGCATGCTATTGTGTGCAAGTACCTGTCAGTAACAAGCCTTTTTTTTTTTTTTTTTTTTAATTTAAATGTTTGTAGCTGCTATGTGGACAGTTGTTCTCTAGTGTAGTCTGTAGCCCAGTGATTGGGCACAAGTTGCAGACAAACGTCACCGTAAATTATTCACAACATTATAAACAGTTGTGAGTAAATATTTCACCTTATCAAAGCTGTACAATAAAAGGTAATGTTTGTATAATGTGGTTGCAAACTCTTAATTTATACTATTGCACTTTTAGTATTTTGTATTAGGGAGGTTTATCTATAATTTGAAAATTTAAAAAGTTGTAAACTATTTTATAAATAGTACTTTGGTTTAAGGAAAATGAAAAAAAAGTTATAATTTCTTGTTTTGTCTTAAGGTCAAACAATATGAGAAATCTATGCCACTTAAACAGAAAAGCCACCAACACTTGTCATTTCCTCAGTAAACTAGGGCCTGCCATTTCTTGAATTAAAATGATTTATTTAACTTTTCTACAAAGCCCATTTAAAAACTTGACCACCGCTGACAAAACTTGGATGCATTAATCTTAGGACTGTGACGCCCATACAAGCCAGGAACTAACTAAGGGTCATTGTGTAGGTATAATTTTACTGTGATCTTTGCTGTCTCTTTCTCACACACCCACGAACAGGATTCTGACTGCCTGCGAGTACTGGTTATTATGTACAGTGAACTGAGAAGAAATATCGGGTGTCTGGCAGTATAATCGGTCATAAGTGGGAAATTCTCCGAGTTCCTGATTTATTTATTATCTTCTCAGATGAAAACAAAGCACAATGTCATCTGATTAGTCAGAATTCAGTCTTAAGCTAGTGACTTCGTTTAAACTGCTTCAAGTAAGGAAAGGGACCCTTGACGGGCACGGGGGGCTGAGTTCGGAGCCTGCACGGGTGCGGTCGTGAGCTCTACCTCATTTTGTGCGGTGCCAGCGTGCTGGGGTCTGACTGTGGACCTTCTCCACCAACACTGTTGCAGAGGTGTCATGGGTAGCTGGGTGACAGTGCAAGGAGTGTGTGCCCCTGAAGAAGGAATCAGACGGTGAAGTCGTCTGTTGAAACAGAAAAATAGGACAATCTTTCCAACACAACTGCAGCAACAACACAATCACATCGAGTCATTGAACAAAAAGCATTTTGAAGACTCATAAATAAGCAGACTTAGCTGTTAATTTCTATCAGAAATGAACATTGAACTCTACAGCTCTGTTTCCCACGGTGACGAGATGGAGCATGCCCCCGTTGTACCATCTCGAGTGGGGTGGACAAGGGGTCTTGGCATTGGGAAAAGAAGGCTGAGGTGGCCTAATGTTGCTGTGTTTCAGCGGTTGAATGTGTTATTATTTATCTGTGTCCTTTTTGGTGTGGATTTTTTTTTGGTTAGTATTTGGTACCATGTAGTGTCTTCTCTTCTCCCAAAAGGATGTGTACATAACTTACAAAAAGAGGAATGTACAGTGTTGTAAATAAGATGGCTCGTGGAGGGACGGTGAGACTGAGCCTGTCTGTGTCAGGGCTGGGCCACCCCTCTCTGCATGGTGAAGAGAGACACTATTTTTCTATTGCAATACCATGTGGGGCCGGTGGCCTCCCTGAACCAGCTGGGAATCGTTCTCTAGATCCAATATTTTTTATGATAAAATCTGTGGCTCGACACATCTGCTAATTGAAATGGATGTCTTAGTCTAGGTTACTATTTTTGTCATATGGAATTGAATAAAATGCAGGATGTAATATTATTTCTGAATTGTGTTCCTTGATTATTCTAATTGCGAAAATGAAATTTGAGGTTATGGTCTTTTATGGTGGATGTGTATCCGTGGTGTTTCTCCGAGGAAAGTCACCGAGGTTGACAGCTTAGATTTAGCGATATCTAAGTGTATGTCAATTGGTCTTGCAATATTTATTTTTCACTTTCTTATAAAATAAAAATGCAGCCTCTTAATTGTGTTTTTTTTTTACATCTGTGATGGAAGAAGATATAGTAGAAAATAGCTAATCGTTAGAGCCTGCTGGCAGTGTCCAAAAATGACTACACCCTGAATTACCTTCCCATCGAGGCATTAAGTGAAGATGACGGCTCTTTGGGTCACTTGAAAAATAAACAGCTGTCCTTCCAGTTACAGGAAGGACTTGGGAAGGAGAAGCCGCTGTGCCCACGGACAGCTCTGTGGGTTCACAGATGTCAGCTCCTCCTGTCTGCTGGTCCAGAGGGAGGGTGTCCTTTGCCGTAGAAGAATCTTTGCCTCACCAATGATGTTCGATAGGATTTAAAACTTTACATAATTTAATGGCTCCTGGATTTCAACATATACAACCCATTTCTTCTTCTTATTTTAAATAACTACTGATACCCAGAAGCCACGGTAACTTTTATCTGGGAAGTGCCTGGTGATTATAAAGGATTGATAAATGTGCTGACCACTGAACTAACTGCTCAGGCCACCCTTCCAGCACGTACCGTAAGCCTTGGAGGTTCAGCCTTGTGGATGTCAGTGCTAGAATAGACATTTGAGCTATAAATCAGCTAAATGAAATAGTAAATTCAATATTTTTTTAAAAAATGGTAAAGAAATAGCAAAGATTCCTACAACCATTTAAAATAATATAAATTAAGAAGTAAATCCATCTTTCCTACATTTTATTTCAAAAATATTTCCAGGGTAACACCCGAGGTGTTTCGGCCTAACAAGCCTGGATATTTACTTCTTTCTGATATCAGCTCTCCTTGCTTAGGCCATATATCAAGGGATCATAAATGCCAACAATCCCTAAAAATTATTTATTTCAATATATTCTAAGTTCATTACAGGAACCATTAACATTTTAAACTAATTAAAAAGTATTGCTAAAGGGCTAAAAAGCAATTGTTTTTAAATTCTCCAATGGTAGTTCCCTGTGGAAAAGTGAGGGCAGCGTGGCCGCCTGCTCTCCTCTGCTGGGCGGGCCCCGCCCGGCTGCTCCTGGAGCTTGACAAAGCCACGCAGATGGCAGGGCGCTGCTTTGTTACTGGGTGGCGTGCACTGCTCCGGCCGCACCAACTTCACGTTACTGTATTTACTTTGGCTGGCTGGCTGATGCCACACAAGTCCAAACCCCTCATTTCTTTCCTCCAGTGGCTGCTTGCAGCAGAGATAATGTCACATACGTGGAATTCTGTGTCCAGCCCGTCACCTTACTAGCACGCCAGCCAACCTGTGGGCCTGGGGTTTCCCTCTTTCGTGTTGGCATCCTGTGCTCATTTGCTCATGACTGGTGTCGAGGTAGACAGCCAGCCCTGGTTTATTCCTGAAGAGTTTGTCATGACCCAGAGCCTCTGGAAGACGGAGGCTCTGAAACATCTGTGTTAGCAGGTCTGCGTGCCGGCTTCTAGCTGTGTTAACATTCGATCTACAGAACATTCTACGCAAAACTAGGGAAAAAAAATTAAATCCCTCTTTTCCCTTTCACCTCAGTGGGAAACGTTGAGTGTTATCTCACCATTCTTCATGAAGGGAACTCTTCACTGAAATCGCCAGCAGGCGCTCTGCTGCCCTTCTCCCGGCACCAGTTTTGTGGCAAGTTCACGGGCTCGGGGTGTGTCAGCATCACCATGCACCATCCAGGTTGGCACACTCTGGTGGGGGCCGGAGGGCGAGGGCCGGCTGGCTCCTCACTCCAGCTCCTCACTCTGGCTCTGCCGTGTGGCAGCTGAAGCCGCCTTGCCTCCTTCCCTGTGCTTCCTGATCTGTGAGAACAGGGTAGAATTTGATGATATTAAAATTCTTTCCACTTCTAAAATTCAGTGGTTTTTTTTAAAGAACTACCGCTAATGAACACCTTTTTTCCCCCCAAAATTCACTAGACAAATTGACAGTATTTACGTAGAGAGAAAATACAAATGATTACCTATGAATATAAATATCAAAAATTTATTACAAATGACTTTGCTAAAGAAAACATGTGGACTCATTTTTGGACCATGAAAAATGTATTGGTATCTTTGATTTTTTTTTTAAATCATTGAATTTATTGAAGCTTTTTGAAATGCAGCTATATTTAAGGTAAAATAAAATGAAGCTCTGTGAACGTTATGCTTACTGCATTTTCTATCAGAAAAGAGTCTCTTAAAAGCGTTTTGGGGCCGGCCCCATGGCTTATCGGTTAAGTGTGCTCGCTCCGCTACTGGCGGCCCGGGTTCGGATCCCAGGCGCGCACCATCACACCGCTTCTCTGGCCATGCTGAGGCGGCGTCCCACATACAGCAACTAGAAGGATGTGCAACTATGACATACAACTATCTACTGGGGCTTTGGGGAGAAAAAGGGAAAAAGAGAAGGAGGATTGGCAATAGATGTTAGCTCAGAGCCAGTCTTCCTCAGCAAAAAGAGGAGGATTGGCATGGATGTTAGCTCAGGGCTGATCT